CGGATGAGGAATGACAGGTCTATACGAGGAGGAAGAAGAAGAACGGAGGATGACTCGAGCTCGGGAATTTATTGGATGATACATTTGTTACTACTGACAATGACACTCATCTTACCAATTTATTAGCGGGCTCCTCCCTAGAACTAGTGGCAGAGGCAAGGCAAAATTTGTTCGCTCTCCAGCTACCTAATACTCCGTATCACTCTTTGGTTTTTTCTTTAAGTCTCTTATGTATTTTGTTGTATTTTCTCTTTTTTGGAACCATTTGATATGGTGGTTTTTGTGTGGGCATAGTGCTATGTTAGGGACCTCCCACAAAATCTATATGTACCCTACTTTTTATTTAATAAAAAAAATATAATAACAAACAAACTTAAAATATGAATCCCTTTATAATGAAGAACATAAAATAAGAAATACAAATAAAATACATTATTTGAATATATTTTGACATACGGATATAGATTCTTTATGCGGATTCCCTATAGGGATGGAATTCCACAAAACTTGAACTGAAACTGATTCATTTTCATACTTCTTTGGGTCCGTTATCATTAATGTCAAGTCTTCATTGTTTATTTTTAAATTTAATGTAGTTTGAATTATGAAAAGGATGATGATGCATCATCCTTTATTAGGGCTTGTTTTCTTGTGTCAGTTATTAGTCTATTGCAAGATATAGTGATCTTCTAACAATGATTATCACTAGCTCTTAAACTTTCTCAATTGAAAGTTCCAACTCTTATAACAAAACAGACTTATCTATGAAACCTCTTTCCCAATTTTATAAATCGAGTATTATTGTTAGTATTTTATTCCAAATAAAATTCATTGAATAAAACAAAACCCAAAAAATGAAAAAAATAGTTCATCTAACTACACGACAGAGTGAATTTGTTGGAGTGAGGCTTTATTCTTTAAAATCTGCACAACTAGTGCTGATGAGTTTCGACAAAGTGTACATATATTTTTAAATTTATTTTAGTATCTAATGTTGTATTTTACTATGCTTGGCATAGAAATGACTAATTTTAGTTGTGTTTATTGATAGTTACTTCTCTTAGATGAAAAAAATAGTCTGAAACTTTGGTTGCTTTAGGCAAAAGACATTTTTATTGTTTTTCCCTGATATGGGCAATCGTTACAAAATATAGTTTCCAGAATGACATCGTTCTAGGGTTGCTAGACATCGTATAACACAAAATATGGTAAGGTAAGTTGTAGGATGAAAAAAGATTGTGGAAAATGATATAGGCTATGAAACTCGACGGTTGGACAAGTAAGAATGGGAAAATTGGTTGGCGATGAGGAGGGCTTCGACCATTCGGGAGAGATCACCACCTCAATCCAATCAAGTTATAGGTACACTACCTCAGAGAAATTAAAGGATATAACACTTCAATAGATAAAATTAGAGAAAACAATCTCTAATGTATAAACAAGAGAAGAAGTCATCTCAATCAATTTCCACCTAAATTGTAACAGAAAGGGTAGTGTATAAACTTTTATTCTGTCCTTGAGTCTTAGCCAAGTTACATATTCAATATTGGTTGATATATTGCTCGACATCCCATACCAAATTAGGCCAATAGACATTTTTCATCAGGGAATGAATCTTCTCTCGGCCAAAGTGTCTCAGGTTGCCTCCATCATGACATTCCTATAAAATTGCTTCTCTAAGTGAGTTTTTGGGAAAACAAATAATGTTCCCATTAGAATAAATAATTATCTAAATTGTGATACTGATCGTATAGTCTATCTTGATAGCGTGCCCAAATCTCCCCAAAATCCTTGTTAGTGGCATATGTATCTTTTAACAGTTCAAATTTGAGTACTTTCAACTCCATAGTACTAATTAACTTAGTGAGGAAAACTCAATGCATCAACTATTGTATTCTGGCCACTGCCTTATGTTTGAGCACAAAATGAAATAAAGATAAGAATTTGACCCACAAGACATGTCAGCCCTTTGTCTTATTCTGGCGGTTAAAATATTCTAGGGTCTCGTGATCAATGTAGATTATAAGCTTGCTCACCAACAGGTAATGACTCTAGTGATCAAGAATTCTTATTATAGCATTCATTTTTTTTCATAGGTAGAATGCTTTCTTCTTAACTCATTCAATTTCTCATTGACAAGAAAATTGGGTGTCCTCTTTGGCTGAATATAGCTTCAATCCACCACAAACATTTGGTTGAAACTTAGAAGGGTTAGAATAGGGACCTGAGCAACATGTTTCTTGAGCATCAAAATTAGTTTGTCTTATATGAAGAAGTAAATCTGCCTTCTTTAAGGAGCTTCATCAAATGTGTTGCAATAGGGCTGAAAATCATGATAAATTTCTTATAAGAAGAAGTCAACTCATTTAATTGACGTACTTGACTGAAAGATTTTGTGTTGGGCCAGTTTATGATTGCTTCATTTTTTCCAGGATCTATGTCAATGTCGGCAACTAAAAAAATATATCTCAGAAAACAAATCTGCGATGCAAGAAAGTGACGCTTCTTTGGGTGGCCATACAACTATTTTGTTTGTTAACTCCAAACACTTGTCGTAGACGCTATACATCAAAATGTTGTCAAAATATAAAATCATGAATTTTCTAAGGCTTAGAAGATTTGTTTCATCGCTTGCATGAAAGTAGTCAAGCGTTGACTGGGCCAAATATTATGTCTGCCCACTCATACATGTCCATCTCATGTCTTGAATATTGTCTTCCACTCATCTCGTAGTCTCATCCTGATTTTGTGATAACCATTGCCCAAGTCGATCTTGGAAAAGACTTTGGCTCCATGTAACTAATCAAGTAATTCGTCCAATCTCGGAGTCAGAAATTATTATTTGTTGATGGTTTTGTTCACAACCCTACTATTTATCACAAAGAACCACCCTTCTTTGGTACACTCTCACCTGAAGCTGTACTGGAGTTAGTACCCTCTCATGGATATGAGTCCCAATCCTCTTGCCATTAAGTCTATAATCTGCAACTCGTACTTGGATGTCAACATCCTCTAGGTTGGTCGATTGAAGAGTACTGATTTTAGAATGTGGTTTATAATATGCTGAATCTCTCATAGGGGTTGCAAATTAGGTGGCAGACTGTCAGTCAAAACATCCTGAAATTCTGCTAATAGGTGGCACACTTTTTCAAGTACCTGCTTTCTATCACTGTCTTCCAGTATCACCAAGGCCAATCCTGCTAACATTTTGTGTCCAAACTGCGTTTCGGCTGTTTGACTGCACATTCCAGCCTAACGGTGCATTTGCTGCGCCGCAGGAATTCACGAATTCGCGGAAGCACCTCCGACACCGTGTTCACTGTGTCCTGTAGTTTGGATTTTCACGGATTCCAAATTTACATGCTGTCCCGCGTTGCTGGTATGCGTAATAAATAACTTCGTATCCTTTTTTTTCTTTGGTAGGACAGCATTCCTGGTATGCGTAATAAATAGCTTCATATCCTTTTTTTTTTCTTTGGTACTATTTGGCTTACTAATAATTGTGAATTCTTGCCAATTACACACATACAACACGATTCTTAATTGTTTACATAGCTCAAAACTAAACATTAATATTTATTACATGTACGTACGTACATACATACATATATATATATACAGATACAAATATGTTGGATGAAACACCCGATATACAACACACACCAAGGTCACAGAAAAAAACATGCATACCCAAAAACCAAGTTTAAAACATAGACATGTAAACTCTACGCCAAAAGCCTACCAACACTCGCATATTCAAGGAGCTTGAGAAGGATCTTACCTCTATCTCTGGTTATAGGAAGGGAGTCGGCTAACAAACGGTTAAGTTTACTGCGATTACTTGAAACAACCAATATGTCATCCATTAAGGGCCTTAGTTCTGATAGGCCTCCATTCTTCTTCTTCTACTTCCTGCATATGTAAACCTGCCATTCCTCATCCGAAAACTAGCTCATTTGATCAGTGTATTGGTCCAAAGATTGTCGGGCATATGTAGGCTGTTGCACATCATGAGCCCCTTGTGCCTGACTAACAGTAACAACTTGCTCGATCTAATGAGGTGGTAGGGCCGCAGTAGAAAGCTCACTTAGGGTAGAATGTTGGACTTGAGGCTGGGGCACACGTAGGGCAGGACACTCCACCACGAGATTGCCAACCGTTACATCAACTAGGGTAGGTGAAGTATGAAATATGTCCTCTGCCCCCACAAACAGAGGTTCCACAGGAGGAATCAGAGGACCTACATCTTGAGTATTATGTGGAGGCTGAGTAGATGACATATTTCCCGCGGGGAGAGTGGAACCATCAGCAACATCGGCCAGTGGACCCTATACATTCATACATACAACAAATAATTAGATAAAAATTTTGTGTAAGGCTATAAAAATATATAAAAAGCAGTAAATTCTATTTCTAACATCATCAAGTGCATAAAAAAATTTTATATAATATCAACAAAGGGGTTTTTCAAATATCTATCTATAAATAACACTTTCAAAACTGAATTTTTCAAATAGACCAACTATTTCTGAAGCACCTACTTTTGAACAACAGATTTTTCACAACTTTTGAATTAAGATTTTTTTTTCACCCACAACCAAAACAAATGCACCCCAAGTGTAGCAAAGAAATAGGGTTGGAAAGTTAATTAGATAAAATGGGTTCTAGATGTTCTTCATTTGAGGCTGTACTACATGCAATTTCCGTAGATTACCATTGTTTATAATAATTTGAGTGAAGCCTCTTTCGCTCTAGGAATAAGTCAGCAATGGACACATGCAAAATTGCTTCTGATTTTGATGCTGTTCGTGTTAACTTCTAGTTTAATGATGTTACGAATCTTTTCGTACTTGTCTTTTGGGTCTCATTAATTAAGGTTGGCTGTGCTTCCATTCTATTTTTATTGTTAGGTTTAACATGTTTATATTGCTGTTATGTATGTATTCGAGGTATAAGCCTCCTTGAAATGGAGATAGTGGTTTATTGCTTTGAACTTTCAGCAGTGTGGTACTATCTCCTGGATCAAAGAAGGCAGAGAGTTTAGCTGATCAGCGAGATATTGTTGTCTTAACTCCAAAGAATGTGCAGGTAGCATTTAAATTTGATATTTGTAATGCTCTATTTGGATGGAAAGAATAGGTGGAAAATAAATGTAAGACATTTTGTTGCTTAATGATGAACAAATGATTTCTCCTTCGATGGTTATCACTATTTTTTTTTGCATTTACATACATTGCACTTAATTCTTATGTATTTATATATCTTACCTAAACTTTCATATTTACAAACATAGCAATTTGGTGCTTTAAACCTATGCAAGAAAAGGTGTATTTCACTTCTAAAATAGTAATAGTGCTATTTTGATGTGATATTATAGATTTGAGTGTATATGTGTAAATATGAAAGTTTAGGTGTGAGATATGTAGATACATAAGAATTGTGTGTTATATATGTAAATTTCCCTTTATTTTTCCAATTACTTTCTCTTTTTTCCTGTCATTGAATATTGCAAAATTTTTATTTTGATTTGTGTTTAGACTAACTTTAAGCTGAGATTCCAGAAACCACATAATGATCATTTTCTTTATTCTCAATCAGGCCTTAAGGACTCTTTTCAATGTTGCACATCGCTTGCATGATGTGCTGGGTCCATCCTGGGTTTTGGTACGACTCATACAGTTGTCTATTACCAATTTCAATAGAATATAAAGCTTGTCATATATGCAATTTTGTAGGTATTGGAGACATTGGCTGCTCTTGATCGTGTCATCCATTCTCCACATGCTTCTACACAGGTATACTGGGAAGGCATTTCTTTTTTATTACTAATAATTAATTAACTTATATGATCATTAAATTGCATCATTAAGCTAATTCTGGAAAAGGGGTGACAACAATCTAGGGTTTCTAGATGGTGTGAGAAAGTCCACAGAAAGGTTAGAAAAATTGTTGGGTGAGAGATAAAGGGGGAATCAGCAGTGTGAGCTGGAAATGTGGCACAACCAGCTGCTGGACAGCAGTTTGGAAGCAAAAAACATCAGGAAGCATCAGGGGTTGGCGGTGTAGGAGGCCTTCAGACGCCCGGGAGGGATCACCATCTATATCTAATCAAATGAAGGCGCATCACTTGAGAAAGATAAAAGAATACAACACTCTAACAAAGAAAAATTAGAGAAATTAATCTATACTTCAGAAATCAAAATTAGAAGTGTGCAACCAGTTCAAAAGCAAGACAAATATATAGTCCCAAAGCAAATTAATCCTACAACTAATGCCTATTATGGGAACTTATCTCTTATGGGGGTTGGCCCAACCCTCGGCAGTTGAAGGACTCAAATTGGTTGGGGGAAAAGAATGGCAGAGCCGATTAAGCTCTCTTTCTCATCTGTCCTAGGACTCGTAGAAGGGAAGTCAGTGCCATTCTCCTTGATTAGAAAGACTTTCAACTTCTTTACTGGAAATGTTTGGGTCTTCATAGTATGACAAAAAGTCTGCAAAATTGAAGGCAGCAGGGGTTTAATCCCCATATAAATCAATCTTTTATGTCACATGAGGCCCATCGCTAGGAATTAACCAAGGCTGGTACAAACGACCGAACTGTGAAAATTTCTTTTATATTTATTTTTTATAACTAATTAACAAATGAAGAGTCACTACTAAAAATAGATTAAATTAAAACAATTATAAATTTATCTTAGGATAGACTGACCACAACTTCTTTAAATATTTCCTCTTGAATTGCCCATATTTTAATCAAATGTTTAAAGTTTTAATATTAATTTAAAGTAACAATAAGCTAAAAATGTTAGTTGGCACACCATCTTCTAAGCCACAGTAACGTAATGGAAATGAGACAATATGCATGCTAGTTAAATTTTTAATAAATCAATGTAAAAGTACTTGGTAATTTATAAATATGACCAATCACTATTTTTCATAATATTCAATATGTTTTACTATTTCAATAATATATTTATATTATTTTATATTTATATAACTATAACTAGGGGTGTAAACGAGCCGAACACGAGCGAGCCCAGGCTCATCTCGTGTTGGGCTCGTTTATATTTTGAGCTAAAAAAATGTGTTCGTGTTTGACTCGTTTGCTTAGCGAGCCGAACACGAGTGTCCCTTCTTTGTCTCGTCGTTTTGGAAAGTTGCCGCAGTCTTTCCTCGTCGACGCCGTCTGCAAGGTCCGCTACTCTCTTTTACTTCGTCGTCGTCGCCTCTTGTCTTCTTCCACGTTGCGTTTTGTTTTTCGCAATCCTCAGGCTCGAGTAGGTCATTGCCTCTCGTCCGCATTCCTCGGGCTCAAGATGAAATCGCAGGGGCTTCACAGAGGGGTTTCCGCTTCTGCTCCCTGTTTTGGATTCAGATTTTGCTCTCTACTTTGCTTTCTTCACTATTCTTAATGCCGCACCTCCCTATTTTGGGGATGGCTTCGGACAGATCGTATGCTGCTGCCCTTGCGGGCGCTTACTCCTTTGGTACACCTATACTCCTTAGGTACACCTAATTCACCATCTTTTCCTCTATTTGAATGAGCGGAGGACATCAAGAAGCCTTGTAGGAAGAATAAGAAGTCTGCTATCTTTTTTACAACAGACGATGATATTCAACTTGCTTCCTCCTGTTGTCTGAATTTGATTGAGAAATTTTTATATGGTCATCCCAAAATGGAGCTCATTCTCAAAGAATTTGAACTTATGTACCTTGTTGGAAAGTGAAAAATTAGACTATTAGATGAGAGACATGTTTTTATTCAAATTAACAATGAAGAAGATTACATGCGCTTATTTTCTAGAAGGATAATCTCTAGAAGGATAATCTGTATTAATAACAGAACAATGAAGATTTTGAAATTGTCTGTGGATTTTGACCCACAGACGGAACCACTAATCATTCCAGTTTGGATTCGACTCCCTGGTATGAAATTTCATTTTTTTTCTCAAAAAGTATTGTACTTTATTGCTTCTGCTTATGGAAAGACACTCAAGACATACATTCTTACTTTTAATCTTTTCCGTCCATTTGAAGCCAGAGTACTTGTTGAAAGTAACATTACTTCACTTGCTTCTGAGGAAATCTAGTTGGGCACACAACACCATGGATATTGGCAGAAGGTAGAGATTGAACCTTTTCTGTCGTATTGTTTGAACTGTCGTATGTTCGGCCACTCCAATTCTCAATGTCACCATCTACACCCCCACCTCAGACCAAAAAAGCAAAGTGCTCCGCTAGAGGCTGTGACTCCATCTCATCCCGATCAGCACCAAGTTTTTGACACTATTGATCAACAGAAGGATACCCTGGAAGACGTCAATATCCCCGTAAGCAATATGACAACCATTCAGTCCCCAGTTGTAGCTCCCCAGCCTTTGGAACCTCCTATCGTGGGGGAGAGAGATTCTTCAGATTCCGCCTGTCATAGAACTTATTGCCGATAATACAGGTAAAAATACTTCTACTGCCTCACTACCGCCTCATCAGGTCCAGAAAGATGTTAATGTTACTCAGACTTATGGGGATCATGATGTGCAACGACCTACACCTGTACGACAACCTTTGGAATCTACTGATCATATGAGTCAATCATCGGATGAGGAATGACACGTCTACACATCCAGGAGGAAGAAGAATGGAGATCTACTCGAGCTCGAGCTCAGCTCAAGAATCTGATGGATGATACTTTGGTTACTACGGGCAATGGTACTCACTTTACCAATTTGTTAGCCGACTCACTTCCGAGGACTCAAGGCAGTAGGACTAAAATGGGACGTCCTTAACACTTATGTGCCCTTTTCTGACTTTTTGGCTTTTTGTCTTTATGTATTCTTGCTTTATTTGGGTTTTGTGTGTGTTGTATTGTATGAGTTGGGCTTTCTTTTAGGCCTCTCATACAACTTTTATGTATCTTTTCCGTACGAATCAATTATATATATTGATTAGTAGTGTTTTTAAAAGATTTATATATATTTAATTGGTGAGTAGTACTTCGAGCCAAAACGAGAGCCGAACATGAAGGAATCAATTTTTGTTCGTGTTCGGCTTGTTAACTTTTAGCAAACGAGCCAAACACAAGCTTTTTAACGAGCCGAACACGAGTTGTTCGCAAACAACTAGCCATTTTGACAGCCCTAACTATCACATGAGCATCGTCTAAAATTTATACCATTTAAGGTAACGTGTACCTTAGTGTTCTTCTGCTAATACCATAGATGGGTGAACTTCCTCTTAGCCAAGCATGCACAAACAAATATATTATAATTCATTTCACTTATATTCTAAAATTATCTCTTTATTTTTCTTTTATAACACACATGTGTAGTAAATAAGTATAACTATGCAAATCAATCACATTCATTTTTAGATAACCAATTTGAATAATAAGACAGAATAATCATATTCTTCTTGCCATAACAAGGTGTTTTGACTAATGTCATTCTAATGCGAGTGATTTAAAAGACATAATATTGTTGCTATAATTTAGAAGTAAAAATACTCACATCGATTCTAGTTGATTTTCTTGTTTTTATGTTCTGTTACCTTTTTCAAATTAAAGCCTATAAAATATAAAATACTCATGTTAATAAATTTTTATCACATTAATTAATTAATTATTATTTTTTACTATTATCATATTATATTATTTTAATTAAGATTTCAATCCTTCAAATTTAGATTTAATCATTGCAATTAATATACTAGTGTTATATAACATTAATTTAAACAAATTATTTTTTGAAATAAAACATTTCTCCACTTTCTCCTCTTTTGCATAATCATTAAACTTGATCACCTATAACCTTTAATTCAACTGTTAGTCAAATTAAAATTATTAATTTTAATTCATAGAATTTGATTAATATTTAACTAATTAAATAAAATAACTTATCAAATAAAAAAAAATAATCCCTTACCCTTATACGCTTGATTTCACCTCCTCCCATACGAAGTTGCCTTCATGTTTTCTTAAAGCTCACCTTTGCTAGATACAACCCTAGGTCACCCGCAAACAATGCCTCACCTTGTTCGATCGTTTCTCTAGTCTTCGAATAGGATGCTTGTGCTCTTCCCAGTGAGCACTTTCACCTAAAGACTAGGGTTCGACACTCTCCCTCACACGATATGTGCAGCTCAACATCGCCTTCCTCATCTCGACAACGACATCACACGCAGGATCCTTTTTTCTTCTGTCTCCTTTCTCTATATTAGAGTTCCGACTTCCTTGCATGCATACACACATAGCCTCCTCTCTGATAGGTTCGAGCTTTAATTCCCTTGCTCGTACTTCGGCTATGCAAGCTTTGAAGCCTCCTGCTCCTGAAATCGGTGACTTATTTCCTTCTGCATCTTCTTCTTCTTCTTTTATCTTCCTTCTTCTTTCTTCTGTCTTCTTTCTTCTCTCGATCGTTTTGCTCTCTCCCTTGCTCTCCTTGTTTCTTTTGTTGAAAATGGATGTACGATTATTAAGTTGTAATTGAAGAGACACCCCTATTCAATTATTATTTTATTTGCATTGTCATTATGCTGCTTAAGAATCATGAATTAGTCGTTAGGTCTAATCTTGAGTTTAGCAAAAGAACGTTTTTGAATCCTTTCCTTAAGTCTGAATATATCAAACCACCTTTAACGACAATCGCTTTCTTGGACTTATTAACCTACTTCTGATACTTGATCTTCTGTTGATAATTTCTTTCCTCGCGTGCTCATGTAAGGCTTAGAATCTATTTGAATCTGGCCTCTAGTGAGCTCAATAGTTGGGCAATATAGGGTTTAACTCCAAAGGTGATAGAAGATTTCACCCATATACAATCTCAAAGGGGCTTATGACCTATGAACTGAGTGGTGGATTTGTTGTAAGCAAACTCAGTGTGAATCAAATCTCATTGCTTGATATTTCTTATCACAAAACCCTGAAGGAGATTTCCCAAACAACGATTTCCCACTTTTGTATGTCCCTTCATCTGAAGGTGCATTGCTGAATTCACTACATGATATACAACTATTATTGGTTGAAAAATTAGTCGGTAATAACTTGAATCTCAGTCGATAACAAAGATTACCGACTGAAATTATACTGAAAAGATTCCACCGATAACACCTCTATTGCGAACAAATTTTATGTTGAAAATTTCAGCCGCTAACTCCAGCGCGATTTTGCACTTGATTTTTTCAGCCATTGGATGATTTCAATAGAATTGATCAGCCATATAGGTGAAAATTTAACTTGCGGCTGATTTATTTTGCCGGTAATTATGTTGGCTTTGGGGAAGAATTGTTTTGCCGCTAATTTACGATTGAAAAAATCATGCTATCATATACAAAAAAAAAAAAAAAAAAAAAAAAAAAAAAACAAATCAAAAGCCAATCAAAACTTTTATGCCTATAACGAAAGATCATAATATTTAATAATAACATCTATCATATCTCACAATAGATTGAACAATAATTAGAGACATTAATAAAGAACAAAATCATCATATATATCTTAGAAAATTTAACAACTCATTCAATACAATAATTCCTAAAATGTTTGGGAAAATAATACAATGTAACATCTAAATATATATATATATATAACATAATACACAGTAGTCCTACTAGTCATCTTCATCCTCCTGCATGTTGCTTGGAGGTTGCTTGCCATGGTGATGTATGTCGCGCTGTAGTTGCTTAATGATTACCTCAAGCATCTCAAGGCTGGCATTCCTGGTGCGCAAATTAGAGTGATTTAACTCCTCAACGAGTATTGGCACATGCTTGGTGATTTCATCATCAACCGATGATGATGACCTATGACCTTGATCTGAATGGGAGTGCTCGACCTTATAGATAAATTTCCGAGCACCCTTGTTGTAGACCCGCCCTTTTATCTTGGTAGTTTCTCTCCAGGTATGGAACTCTGAGTGGTCAGACAGAGACTGACCACTTCTACTACCAATATCTGCCGGGTTTGACTCTAGGTGTCCCTTAGGCGCTCATAGTCCTCTTATAGAGGTATAATCAAAGGATTATTTGTACTTTAAATAAGATTGTAAGTAAATGAAATAAATATATAATATTATTTTTCTTACATGGACCCGTCGAGATCTGTCGTCAAATCATTGATGGTTCACGTGGTGCTGATGCGTTCGGGCATGCAACGCAGCAACAGTGGGCTCCCGTCAAAGTGTTAGTCTCTGTTAACATGTAAAAAATCAAGTATCAGATAATTACATAAATGAATTGCCGAGTATTGGATGAAGCATATCAAATTCTTCCGGTACTCAGTGAGCGAAACCAAACCTCTTGTGTGTAATGTGGCGTCCATGCCCCCCACAACCTGATCCAGTTCTGCTTGACCGTCTCCTTCTTATTGAGATACTCCAGAGTGGACCACACTCTGAATAACTCGACCGAGACATCCTCACCTATTAAGATGGGTTTCTCATTCTTTTGTTCAGTTCAGTGAGCATATCGCACAAACGGTGCATGCCTCATGATTCAAAGTTCAGTTGGATCTATCGTTGATACTCAACATTCTAGCAGAAGGACCTCTACAAAATAAATATGAAGTAATATTTATTGTTATAAAAACATTACTTAAAATTATAATTGTAATTGAAAATCAATTGATTTTAACTCAAACTCTTGGGGCCACGTGCCCACAACCTCGATCAGGTCTTCTTCCAAGAAAGATAAGGAGCATCATACCCCCTCTTGATGATCTCCGTGATTTGGATGATGGACTGCCTGGATAGATAAAATCTGAAATAAAAATCTTAGTTAAATATTAACAATAGAAAACTAATACAAATTATTATAAGTTTAGGTTACTCAAGAAATTCCTTCCTACTCGATACTCGATATGTTGGGTGTTCTGGGATGCCCTGTTTGGAAGGAGGGCAGACAAGAGCGTAGTGGACTGGCTTAGAAGAGGGTTGTTTCCTTTTCCTATTGCTGGGGATTGAAGGCATAGGAAAGCCTCATGTAATTGTCGTAGGAGCAACAGGCCTGATGTGTACCGGTGTAGTTATCATAATGGTGACTGCCATAGTGCTGCTCGTCTATGAGGAGGAAGGTGAAGCTGTCTGTTTCTTTATGTAGTACAAGTTAGATAGAACTAGTCTATGAGATGACCCTCACCTCTCTCACTTGAAGCCATCTGTAACAAGAAGAAGGAAACTGATCAAAGTAATGATGAAATAATATTATAATTAGAAAATAAGTGAGGTCTTGGTTTGCGAAAGTATTAGCCTAGATGCAACTCGCTCTTTGGTTGTGCTAAAGAATGATGGTTATTTATTCGATAAGGATGTGCTTTGGAATAACATAGATGTTTTAGAGTTGCACGAAATGGGCAAGCATAAAATTTGCAGTTTGACAATCTCAGGAACAACAAAGCTTTGACTTTGTTATGGTCGTGATAGATCAATTCTAGAGCCTTCCAGTAAAGAAGGTGAAGCCTCTCTACCCTGGGAAGCGGGATGCAAACCGTGTCATGGGAGGGGGACTTTTGCGGTGAAGCTTCAGCGATCCCACAGTTATAGAGCTCTCACTATTGCAGGTGATCGAAATGGGCCGCATGGTTTTTGATTCCAACCCAATTTTTGTCTATTGGTTTATTTCCAATTTAATTAATTTGTATTCGATTATTTACTATTTTTTATTTATAATTAGGATATTTTTTTATGGGACTTTTATATATGTTTTATTAGGATTTTGGATTTTCATTTATGTTGATTCTATGAGGTTGAGAGACTTTTTTTTTTCTAATTCATGCTATTCGGAGTGTTGCATCATTTTCCTATTGTAAGTGGCATGTCTTTAGCTTGTCTAGAAATATGTGGTGAATCCTCCTCGAAGTCCGCACTTCACTGTTTCCTCGTTCGTCCGTTGTTTTCATTCTAGACAGCCACCAAACTCCTCCAATTTCTGTCCAACAGCAGCTTTTATCTCATCTCCCCTTCCAAACACAATCAAACTCCCATATTTCTTTGGCTCGCCCTTCCACAACCACATCTTAGCTAAACACCCTTCCAAAATACATTCTAGGAGCCATAGAACTGTATCATTTGGTATCAGAGATATTTTAATTGGTATAAATTTCTATTTTAATTTGGTTATTGATTTGATTATATTTCTTACAATGCAGTGCAAGGCACTGCTAGTCTTTTCAATATTACAGATGTTTATAATTATGTCTAAAGCTCTGACAACTTTTATCCTTACGTATAGGAAGTTTCTGTTTCTGTTTCAAGGCTGCCGAGAGAAACATCTGGGCAGTATAGTGACTTTAACATACTCTCTTCTTTGAATTCTCAGGTATGCATGATTTGGTTTTTCTCTCTTTCTTCATTCTTTCCATGTATGTTTGTGTTCGTGTCATAACTCTTTTGTAGTCTTACACCTAAATTGTTCATTTCTAACTTACTATCTTTCTGATTTGGAAGTTGTTTGAAAGTTCAGCACTGATGCATGTGTCGGCAGTAAATTCAATTTTATCTGCCCTGCGTCAGTTGTCAATTCAGTGCATTTCTGGATATCCAAGTGGTATGGGGCAAGCTTTAAACCAGCAAATTGGAAGTGTTGCATTTTGTGTGGAGAGTATTACATCAGTTCTTGTGAATAATCTTCATAGTAAGTTTGCCATCTCTAACCATCCAAAACGTTAAGCTTTTCTTAGCTGCATCTGATGGTGATTGCTCAGTTTTATCCATGTTAAAAGCTGAGCAATTTTAATAAACTTTTGGGTCTGTATCTGTTACATTATAAAGTTCTCAGTTTTAGGCATTTAACGTCTTTTTTAGTGCTTCAAATGTTCTTTCTTGAAAGAACCTAAAGCTCAAGAAGCATTGTTCTATGTGGATGAAGTTTGAGTTGTAATAATTCTTTCATTTTGAATATAAGACCTCATTTTAATATAGTAATCCAAGTGAAATTGGCTATTTCAGTCGTGATTTTAATGTGCTGGCTTGCCATTTTTGTCACTGCACACAAATAGTGCTATTGAAGACTAGCCAATTCAAGACGCAATGAAGAATAATAACTATATGTTTGTAGGTTATTATTCTGCACAAGTAATTGCTTAACAATGTATGGTAGTGCATGAACATGCAGTCCCTTGTTGTGCTGGCATCAACATACGTACCTGAATGATCTTGTAGATAAGAGTGCTTTAGGGATACCAGTCTAGTTTTCCGCTAGGATTCACAATGAGGGGAAAGTTTGTACGATGCCAGCCCACTCTCTAATAAATTCAGATAATACATGGAAGATTTTACTAGCTTTTAAGTATTCTGAAGTTGGACTGTTTTCTTATTCCAATCTGATAAATAATAAACTAATTATTCAAGCATCTCTTTCAACATTGCTGCAAATGGTATTTTTTCTTTTATGGGCCAAATTTTCCTTGATCGTCTTTCATGTACTGGAACTTACAATAGTTAATTTCGCTAGCTAATAAATAGAAAACAATGATGCACTAAGTAATTCTCTTAATTTGAGACTACAATGTGGAAAACAAATTACAAACTTTTGACCTTATTTTGACTAGGGTTAGTCCGCACCCTACATTTACAGGTACCTTGGTTAAATACTCAAAACTCATGTCAAGTTCAGCATGATGCCTTGGCTGTCATGGCTGATTGTTCTACCCCATCCCTTAACCAATTGGATGCTCTTTCTAATGACTTGATTTTTAGATAGGTCCGTTATCCAACTTCTTTTCGCCAATTCCAAGGCCATTGACTACTGACCATAATGCAGTTTGAGTCAGTCACTATGGCTTCTCTCCGCATTTGTTCCCTTTTCATTATAATGGGAAAGGGAGAGTGGGAAAGCAGGCCATCGTGTACATTTGTGGGGGATGCAATAATCGAGATTGCTGCTCCTATCCCCATGCTACCTTTGCTGGTGCAATAATTGAGTTGATATAATTGCCTCTCTTATAAATTCGTCTCTTTTTGATTTCACCACGGTTTGCAATGTTAATTCCTTAGTTTACAGTTGACATCCCATTCCTTGTGTTGGCCCTTGCATTTGATTCCTTGGGAAGTTAAAGGACAAGTGAAAATTTCTGCTCAGTAGTTCCCAACCTTCTCAATCTGTCTGTCCCAAAGTTTTCAACAACGTTCTCTCAGTATGCTAGTCCTTGCTTAAAACAACGAGGCCGCCACGAGAAAGGTGGCATTGAATCAAAATTCCTTGTATTTGCAATTTTAGTGATACTATTAGCTTTTAGTTGACATCGAGCCTTCATCTTGGCGGTCACTTTGTTTGTCATCGAGTTTAAGGCTCATTGATGTTAGAAACCAATGAATGATTGTTGTCTCCTTACCCATCACTAGGCTTCTAGTGGGCAGTGTGCGCTAATTTTGGGAGTTGGATCTTGTCTCCCTACTAGGTTGTTAGAGAAATTCCTTTAAGGAGATCTAATTTTTTTATTTCATTTCCACTTATGAAGCCATTGGCTATGTCATCGCAGTCAACGACTTTTGATGACAGCTGGTTTCTCTGAGAGCTGTCACCCTCTTCAAGAAAAGCCCATCATTTTACATGATGATGTGGTATGTTTTATAGGGATTGATTACTCTCTTGTTGCATTGTCGATGCATGCACTTGAGGACTACTGAGTTATCCTCTACGAGCACCCCACTCATTGGATATGGCACATTCAATGAACTAAATCTACACCACCCTATAACATCATGTAAGAGCAATAACACTAAAAGCCTAGTTGAGACAGCTTTCTACCTGCATTATATTTCGTATCACTGCTACAACTTTGTATGGGAAATTACTTTCTTGCATCTTTCTGGAAATTTTTGTGGTGGGATGCTACTTTTGTATCCAAATATATTAAAGTTTGGTAATTATAAGAAAATTGATTTTTTAGAAAAAAAATATTTATAATTCTCGGTACAATTTTCTAGAAAAATGATTTTCCACATCATAAATTTTCTACATCACACTCATGTCGACTAGCCATATGCTTTGTATGCCCTACTTGTAGATCTTAGACCTATAATTTATATTACAATTTGATAGAGTTTATCATTTTTAAATCATGTAATCTTTTTTTAATAGCAATAAAAGTAATCGTCTTTGTGTTGCGTATTTTTATGTTATTTATTACATGTTATTAAGACACATCCCCTTGCACAACAAACCCAAAAGGACAAGACAATATATTTTAAATTGAGAGTGTTCATAAGGCATTGTGCCAAATATGTATTTAATTATGGGGGCTTGCACCTATATGGGAAGCCAACATGTCAAAATCAAACCCTAATTAGTGTCACTCACCGGGTAGGGAAAATTGTATTTGGAAGTCTATGTTCTTCAAGCCCTACTCAAGCAATAAAGGCATGCATGTTCTAATTGTGGCTTCCATTGAAAACTTGAGTAACCTGCTAGTTCATGTCCGTTTTGGTTTCAAAGCATCTTTATTAGAAACCATGATATCATACCAAGTAGAAGTTTGCTTCGGCCCAAATTTACAGACTAATATTTAGGCGTGTATTTGGTTAATTTGGATTGTTTAGTTTGAAATTACCTAAATTTATTGATTTTTAAAACTCAAAAATCAAATCAACCAAACTATTTTTTTAACTAATTAAAAGCAAATTGAATTTTAATTTGGTTTTGGATGAATTAAAATTTAATAAACTTTAACAATAAACTTAATTATTTTAATTTTTAATAAAATATCTAATTTTGGAATATTAATTAAATAATATTTACAATTGATTTTGTCAATTGTCTATTTATGTGATTTTTTATTTTATATTTAGAGAAATTAATTTATTTGATTTTTGTCTTCACCAGTTTTACAAAGTAAAAACCCTGCATATAACAAAAAATCGAAGGAAGCCAAGATTGCAATCTGATACCGGAGAAAGTCCAAACCACCATGAAAAAACACAATTTTTATTACTGAATTCAAAAGGGTACAAACGAGAATCTTGCAAACATGAAATAAAAATGACAAACATACAAACGGATAGAACAAGACGATGTTGCAAAAATATAAGATAGAAAGTAACACAAAATACATAAACAACCATCTTGGAAATGGGGACAAGGGTGGTGTTCGCAGAAGGGTTGGCGACTGCTGGAAGGTAGCCAGAGGAAACTGCGGTGGTCTGTGGCAATAGCAAACTGGTGGTGGGGTTGGATGGCAGGGCTGGACAACAATGGAGACGGGCGCCGGGGGCTGGACAACAACTGTGAGAGGCGCCGATTGCTGGACAGCAGTAGGGACAAGCCTGAGATGTTGTTTGTGGTAGGGACTGGTTGGGGAGGGTCTTGACGGATTGTTGGAGGGTGAAGGGACAATTGCAGAAAGGGACAAACAACAACGAGGATGGCGTTGGCGTCAGTGATGGCACAGGACAATGGCTTGGAGATGTCAAACAGTTGAAGGGAAGGTGTTGACGAGGGCGAGGGAAGCATGAGTGCTGCTAGAATGAGGAGGGAGGGCCTGGACGGCTGCTGGAAGAAGACCGAAGGGCGATGTGCGGCTGCTGGAAGAGGGACGAAGGGGCTACGGAAAGATAAATGTCTCAAGAATTGAACAATGTTTACAAGATTGATTTACCGGGAGATTATAACATCTCCATCACCTTCAACATGCCCATGCTTGACCTAACACTATTCAACGAGGATATAAAAGCTTCAACAGATGAGGTCGAAGCTCTCCCAACCCTCGAAGACTGAAGCGGGAGTCACGACTGGACGCTTAGACTGAATCGGTCCACGTCTTTTGAGGGGCCGACAGGCTATTCCAAGGAAGGTGCTGCCTCTTTCCAATAGACTGACCCATTCCTAATTATCCTAGAGTTATTTATTTATTTTGTGATGTTTAGGGTTTCAGCTTTTTGTTTGTTTGTTTTGTGACAATTGTCGACATCTTTGTTTTCCCTTTTAGGGTTTTATTCAAGAGTCCGAGTTGTGCTTTGGTGATGTTGTTGTCTAAAGTTGTTCCACTTCAATTCCTTAAAACAAATCCTATACAATGCACTTTGTTTATATGTTTGAGTTTAACTGCTTATTAATAAACAATTTTGTGATATATAATGTACAACCTTTGCATGTTTAACTTTCAGTTACGAGCTGACTTCTTTGTTTCCAGGGGTTCATCATATATGGGATGGGGTTGTTGGCCATCTGCTAGAGGTAGCGTTGTTTTGAATATTTTTTTGTAAATGCGTACATTATAGATTACTTTTTGCGGGGAAAAGATTATTATTTCTTTTACAGCTTTTCAAAAATCAAAACCAGCAAATAAGAAACTTGGCCCTTGATGCATTGGATCAATCCATCTGCGCGGTCTTAGGTTCTGATCAGTTTCAAAGTTCCAAGGCCTCTGAACTTGAGTTGACTGCTACAGAGGTAAATAAACTTTTTTTACCACCTTTTCCATCAATTTTTTGATCAAATAACTGGCTTAATCTTCTTACAGGTGAATAATAGTGTTGATAAAGACAGACCATTTGAGCATGAGGCATTGTCTCCCTTGATAACTCTTTATAATTCAAGCCAAGGCCTTGATGTCCAAGCAGGAGCACTGAAAATATTACTTCATGTCTTGGAGGCATGCCTTTTCAAATTCTGACTGCTGCTAACATATTAATTAAGCTTCACACCCCAGGCTCTCTCTTAATTTTTAGTCTTGGCTTGCAGAGATATGCAGACAAACTTCAATTTTGCTGGTCTGGTATACTTGATATGTTAAGGTTTTATCTAACTCGCTTTTTAGTCAACATGGTTTTTTTATCTAATGCATTTAATAGGGGAAAACCTTCTTTGTAATAACAGTTATTTTTAATTTAACTTCAGGTCTGTTGCTGATGCTTCAGAGAGGGATCTTATCCCGCTAGGATTTCAGGTGGGAAGGGTCTTTTTTTCTTATTATTTTCCCTGAGTACTTGCTACATACCAAATCATATTATGTGATCGCTTGCTTTTTTTTGCTGAGCTGTTGCAGCATTAAAAAAAAAAAAAAAACGGTCTATTAATTCTTTTGAAGTAGATTTTATTTTAAATAAAAAAGTAATCTTCTTATGGATTGGAATTAAATTATATGATTTTCAGTTTCGTTGTCTGCATCTTTCCTGTGGAAAATGGGCATGCTTTCCTAAAAATAGGCTCGATAGTGTCTTATTTAGGAATAAATGAGAAGTGCTATTGTAGCAACAATAACATATGTTGCCTGCCTAAATGGCAGGCGGGAGGGAGGGCTAGAAAATATGGGTTTACCTTTCAAAGCAAGCTCATAATAAGAACTTTTCAGCTCCTTCGAAAAGTCTAATTTTTTATCAACTCATAGTAGTCTTATTACTTATGACGCCTTTTGAGAAAATAATGTTTATCTATCTATAGTATAGAAGAAAACTAATATATCTTTTCCTTATGAAGTTCTTGATTTATAGTGATTGTGAGATCCATTGAATGCTATTACTTTATATGTCTTTTTGGAAAATGAGATGATTTTTATGTTTCATTGATGCATGCTATAATAAGTGGCTACAAATATACTTGGAATCCCTCTCTCGCTCCCTATCTCTATGCAGGCATGTACAAACACACAAGAAAGATGCATACAAATGTGCCTAGAGTTTCACAGACTGTCTGTAGTTTCTCGCACAGCTTAATTTTTTTTCTGTTGTTGTATCCTTATTTTTTTTTGTGTGCAGAACATAAGGGTTATTATGAATGACGCATTATCAACCATACCAGTTCAATGTCTTGATGTGTAAGATCCTTTGTTCTTTTGGGTTTGTATCTTTAAAATGTAGGGACATTTAGATACATGCCACACAATTCTTATATATTTACATATCTACACCTAAACTTTGATATTTACATGCACACCAATCAAATCATTAACATCACATCAAAAATATCATTTTTACTAATTTCTTAAAAGTGAAATACACCTTTTCATGCATAAGTTTATACCACGTAAGTGTTATGCATGTAAATATTAGATATGTAGATACAAAAGAATTGTGTGGCATGTATGTAAATGTCCCTAAAATGTATATCCCTTGGTAAACTTAATCTCTTCAATAAGCAAGCATGGCTCTTTTCCGTATATTGGTAATAGCAACATTGCTTTATTTTGTTTGTTTGCATAGTCAGTTCTCTTGTAGTATTTAATTTACACCTATTTTCCGGACTTCAATCTTTATTGTCTTTATAAACACAACTTTGCAAATACTGCAAACCTTGCAGTTCATTTGGAGACTTTAGAAATACCTGGTATATCATATCCCTTCGGAACAATATGATTGGTAAGGGTCTCTCTGATTACATGGAGATGTGGACTAAAATATAGTATGATTTTCTACTCACAGCTATTGAAGGAAGGATAAAGTTTGTTCTTGTCAGGAATTTTAACTCCTGGATATTTACCCATCCCTATAAATTAATCCTGAATGTAAAATTAAAACATTGACATTCTCTATCCATGAGATGGTTATGAACTCATCTTGTTTGTTAACGACTTTTCCTTGGTAATTGCCAACGAACCTGCCTATAGTCAGAAATTTTACTATTTGTTGCCAATAAAGTGACCTATTCCTGCTTATGGTCACCGCTAGTTTTAATCTTAGATTGGTTCTTCATTGGTGTTTCATACGTAATTGGTTTGAAGTGCATAATCTTATTCACAATAAACATCAATTAGTTGGTTTAATATGTGAAAAGATAAAGTGCTTTTTTGTCGGTCAAGCTTTCCCAGCTGTTATTGTTTTATATATTCTTTCCTATTCATAGATGCCTAATTAAATTACTAATCATAATTGTTTGATACTGGAGATCAGCGCATGCTTACATGTGAAGTAACATGTGCATTGAAGGAGGGCATATGCCTGCATGTATGTATAATTTTGTGCATGCCTGGATGGATATCTGAGTTGTCTTTGTGCAAGCACACATAGAATCCAATTTCTTCTATATGCATTTTCTTGTGCTCTTGGAAACCCCAAAATGAAATAGATTTTTTAGTTTTTTGGTCTTTTGTAGTTGATTTGTGCTTGAGAAGCATATCTTATTGTATTTAGCAAAATCTTTGTACCTCCTATTTGTTCACCTGTTGAACATCCAAGTATTTGAAGTTCTGGGAAAGCTTGAATTTTATCAAATCCTTTCTTCTTTTAGTGGATTGTTCCACCTAATCTTATGGCTTCATGATTCTATTGTTTTCTAGTAGCTTTTGGAATATGGCCTGATTAGTATGTAATATTATGTCAAATTTTAAGTGCTTGTAGTGTATTTGGTACTTCAATTAGAACAGTGTTGAAAATTTTATCGTGTCAGATTTTTTCTAACCATCACACAGGTGTATAGAAGTCACTGGTGCATATGCTGCTCAGAAAACAGAGATAAATATAAGTTTGACGGCTATCGGACTTCTCTGGACTGCAACTGATTTTATCGCCAAGGGTTTATCTCCTGCGAGTTCTGAAGAAACAACTAATAAAATCGTAAATGGTATTCTTTCACTCCGTTACAACTTGCAATAGATGGATTAGTGTGGACAAAAATAGAACTATTTTTTTTGTGTATGGTATGCTAACTTATTTTTTTAACAGATAAATCTGAAGCTGATAAAATTTCAAGGCATACTGGAACTTTTAGTACTTCAGAAAATGAACAGATTGAGAGTATCTCTAACAGCTTTCATAACCCGAGACACTCCTTAAAAGGGTTTGACCGCAACAAATTGCTATTTTCAGTTTTCTCTATACTTCAAAAACTTGGATCAGATGAGAGGCCTGAGGTATGTAAACTCTTTTCCAATTGAATCTTTCTTTGTGTTCCCAGTCATCGTCTTCTGCTCTTTCCTGTTCTGCTGTCTATAGCTAAATACCTTTCCTTGTTTGTTTATTTTTCTTTTTGAGGTAGCTTGACAGATATTTTGGTTTTACCTTTTCAATATCCATGTTTTTTATTGTACCCGCTGTTGTGTTCAGAAAGCTTCTTTTGAACTAGGAAGCAGTTGTGTTCATAAAGTTTCTGTTGCACAGGGAAGCTATAGAAATTATGATCTGTACAAAGTTAAATTTCATATTTTGAGAGATGATTGTTGGCTGAATAAATCATGTTTAACAGCTGGATGCTGTCTTCAAGTTAAGAAATTTCAATGCGTGCAGTTATATACCTAGGGTAGCATATATGTATCATCATCATTAGCCTTATCCGATGTATTTGGGCTTTATTTCATGACTCCTCATTCTCTTTTCATCCCTATTCCCTATTAAGTATTACTAGAAATGTTAGACCCAATTTGCACAAGTCATTTTTTACAAATCTATTCACTTTAGCATTGGTCTACCCTTTTTCCTTCATTATCCAACCTTTTTTTATCTACAAGTATTATTGGTTCATCTTCTACCATCAATTGTATAACCCAAACCACCTTATTATATTTTTTAATGTGCTTAACTTCAATTGATTCTTCTCTTATCATCCCTCTAATACTATAATTTATTTATCTATTATTAGTTTGACGTATATCTATCTCAAATTCTTACTGTATCTTTATGCTTTACTTGTCTATTATTGATTTTTTTGCTACCCAATATTCATATTCATATGATCCAACTTATCTAAGTATAGTTCTAGAACATTATCTTCTAAATTTATCATTCTTTTACTGCATAGTACTTCTTGGACAGCTTTTTAAAACTACCACTTAGGGTGATGCGGGAGTGCTCCTACTTGAGACGTGGGACACAAGCCACAATGCTTATGCGATTTGTGAGACGGGGAATGGGCCGAAAATATAGTTTTCCTTCTTTTTATGCTTTCTTTCCTATTATCCTTTATTTCTTTTTAGTCATTTCCTATATTTTGGAAGTTAGTTTTTGGCCCGAGTTTGTTATGGACAACTGCCGACATCCCTTTACTCCCTTCGAGGGCTTTATCCGATCTTCGGTTGTATCTCTCTTCCAAGGTGGTGATTATTTTCCCCTATCCCCTTATTTTATCCTCTACATTGCTCCCGACCACCCCTTCTGTGTTGCAGCTGCCAAAACAACCTCTTTTTTATGTTTTTTGTTGTTTCGCGTCACAACTGCGTTCCTCTCCCATTGGCTGTTGTTCTAGCTGCCCACATCCATTTTCCTTGTCGCCTCGCTGCCGTTCCGACCACTAGAAATGCCCCTTTGAAGCCTTGGTTTCTTTTCTAGCCATTCCAAACCACTTTTCTGCCACCTAGTCACTGTTCCAGTCCTCATCCTTTGCTGTCATATTATTGGGCAGTTGTGAGACGTGAATATTTGCTATGTACTTGCTATCTGGAACCCAATAAACTGTTGTCTGGCTGTTTTCTACCATCCAACCACCTTGTCCACCATCCCGCCACATTTCCCAGCTTTTAACCACCACCACTTGAACTAGGATTTGTGTCGCGTTGTTGTTATTTTCTATTTTTTATGTGTCGTGTTTGTTGTTATTTCTCTCTCTTTTTGTGGTTGTAATTTTGAATTGAACAATAATATTTGATTCTTTTTATTGTTATTTGGGTTAACTCCAGTATCGTTTTGTATCAGAGCTATAGCTTAATCCTAATCTTATTCTAGCATCAACCACCACCCGACTCGACCTTCACCCAAAATTTTCTTTCCACCCTACACATTTCCTTCCACATATCCACTCAAACCTTAACCATGCCACTGTCAAGGAGGCAATTGCCGAAGCCTGATCAAGAATTTATCATGGATAATGTACGATGGCTACTCCGCCAAGTGCAGGGCAGGATCACTGTTGACCATATTAGTGAAATCTATGGGAGCAAGAAGACCATCTGAAACCCTTTCGTAGAAATGATTTCAATGGAGAGGAGATCAACTAGGGCCCTTTTGGATACAATATTAGAGAAGACCAAAAGATGAAGTGTCGGTTGGAGGATACAAAGATGAAGTTCCAGTTGGAGGATACCGAGATACTAGAATGAAAGTGGACCTATTGGACTTCGAGGGGAGAATTGATATAAATAATTTTCTTGAATGGATGTAGATTATTGAGTAAATCTTTGAATGCATGGAGGTGCTCAATGACAGAAGAGTGAAGCTTTGTGCCATTAAGCTGAAGAAGAATGTCTTTTATGGTGGGAGAACCTGAAGAGGAGTGACAAAGAGAAGAATGAGACATATCACTTCTTGGGAGAAAATGAAGAAAGCCATGCAACGATAGTACATACCCCTGTGCTATCGACAACATGATTTCTTAAAGCTCAACTACCTGAAGCAGAAGGGGCTTGATACACCTAAAATATATAGTGTTTTTAGACACATTTTTATACCTATTTTTGAGATATTGCATTTTAATGGAAGGTATTTTGTGTTTTTCTTGCAGATACAAGTAAAAAGGTAAAAAATGCTTAAAGGAGTAAAAAAAAAAATCAAATTTGGAGCAAAAATGTGAAAATTGAGCAAAAGAGTTTTGGAGCCTAAGCTCCGGTTAAATAGAGAAGGCCGCGCCTAAGCGCTAGAGGCCCTGCGCTTAAGCGTCAGTGACAGTTACTAGATGAGTAAATTTGGTTTTTCCAAATTTTGAAGATGTTTTTGAGGCACCTATTGACATAAATGGGTGGTTACACTTATCCAAAACAAAAATAAAATGAAAGGAGGCATCTCTTGGGGAAATACATCGAATCAAGACACATATTTTGAAGAGTTACCAAGACACCTTTTGAAAAACTATAAAAGAAAGAAGAAAGGACTTAGAAAAAAGTCCTGAAAGTATTGACAAGTTTTGAAAGTTCATCAAATTAGGGAGTTAGTTGGAGAGATTTTCAGGAACCACTTTTATTTTATCCTTTTTGTTATTTTATTTTGAGTGATTGTAAAAGAGAAGAGATTTAAAGGAACTTCAAGAGTTTGTTGGATTTCTTGAGATAAGTTTTTATCTTTTGTTTCAGACTACTTTTGGTTTTAATTGAGACTTGTTATTTGTTTGACAATGATTTCTACTTTTATTTCTACTTTTAATTTCTACTTTTAAACTAAAGTGTGGTTTTATTTTCTCCATGGATTCTGAATAGTTTTCTTTATCTTTCTTCTTAAAATGAAAGATAATTAAGTTTTGGATGAAAGTTGTGGAGAGTATTGATCTTTAATGTTGGAAGAAGTTGTGATGATTTAGATCTATGTACTTCATTTACTTCTTGATTTGACCAATCCAGATGTTAAAATTTGTTGTGAGAACATGTAAGAACTGGGCTGGTATTGTCTCAGTCAACAATTGGAAAGAATCACATGAGATTGTATGAATGTGAATGCAGTTCATATGATTGAGTGCAAATAAATAGGATAATATTAATTGATGGGTGTAGAGTTAGAGGACTTTAAAGTGACAAGTTAAAACCCCCAACTAAGGATTAATATCATTAAGGAAATTATTATTGGTTTATTATTTTAGGTTTTGATACGAGTTTGTTAGCCCCCAGGTGGAGGGAATCAAGGAAAATTTAGAGTGAGAGTTGGTATTTTCTCTACCTAGCCGGTCTTCAGAACTATTTAAACTTTAAGTTAGCCAATGTTCTTTACCAATGTTCTTTATAGCATCTCTTTATAGCATCTCTAGTAAGAGTAAATAATATCATTGCTCCTATTTGACACAACACTTTGCATACTTCCAAAACAGAATTCTGATACTTATTACTGATTCATGATAAGAAGAAAGATATTTTAATATTAAGTGCTTTTCTTCTACAAAAACTTTAGTTATCTTTTTAAGTTGTTACTGTTTTGTCAAAATATCAAAAATACCAAAAATAATTGAACTTTTAAGTTCTACAAAAATTATATTTAGTTTAAGTAATTGTCTTTGAAAAAACTAGAAAAGCTTTGTAAAAAATGCATATTGCATAATATTCCCTATGAGTTCGATATTTATGTCTTAATCAAAAAGTTTTATATTACTTGATAACGATACTATACTTGCGTAGTATCCCAATATATAAATTAAAATATAAATTCTTATTTTTCTTCAGGATCAAATTTTTGATTTTGTTACAAAATAAGGAAATATAAGTGAAAAATATCATTAAAACTATTGTTATACTGTGCATATAAACATCTCCGGGATCAAGTTTAGCATAGTGGTGAGTATTCCCGCCTGTCACGCGGGTGGCCCGGGTTCAGGATTAAGCATTTCTCACCTTTTTACTTGTATTTGCAAGAAAAATACAAAAATACCTTCCATTAAAACGCAATATCTCAAAAATATGTATAAAAATGTGTCTACAACACTATATTTTAGGTGTATCAGGGCTTTTATTGGAGTACAAAGTAAAATTTTTGTAGCTTAAATTGAAGTGTGAATTGAGGGAGACAGAGGTGCACACCATAGCCAGTTACTTGGGAGGCCAAACACCCACTATCAATAATGTGGTTCAATTGCAATTCTATCCTCAAAGTGCATTTCTTAGCATTGAAAATAGAGAGGCAACAAAAGCAGAGTTGCAACCACCGCTAGTTAGGTAGCCACCCACAGTGGTAGACCTCGAAAGGAGCACGCCTTAGGAATGGAGCAGATTGGTGGGGAACATGACAGAGCCATTCCGAGTAAGAAAAAGCCTGAGAAGAGTTGCGCACCCACTAGAGTTTCAGCCAGGAAATGTTTCATATGCCATGGTTTTGGAAACATCACTTTTGACTGCCCGACATTTACTGCATAACAAGATTGTAATTTTTCACTAAGTTGTGAAAACTTAATATTGATTTTAATTAATTTTTTAGGAAAAATTGTAGATTAATATGTCTGACTTGAGAG